TCTGCTTATCTTCAGTGTCTGATCATCCTCACCTTGTGAGACACTAGTTTGCACTGCTTGAGGTCTGGGCCACGTGTGTGCATCCTACCTCCCTCAGCACTGAGGAGTGTATTCTGCACTAGATCCAGGTGGGAGCATCTCTGCAAGCCCAGGACAGGCAGTGTAGGGATCCAGGGAATTGTGAAATCCAGATCCCAGTACTTCCACACTGCCTGCAGGGTAAAACATCCGCCCAGAGGTCCCACAGGTGCTGAACATCAGTGTTTGCCTGTGGCCACTCTTCACAAGGGTCAGCCCATCATCTCCATACTGTATTCCAGGGTTCTTAGTCACCTGCGACTTTTAAACCTCTCCGAGGACACATCTGGTAATGTACAAATCTGGCCTCTGCTTTCTGATCACCATGCTCAGCATTGCTGCCTTCCCCACCCCAAGATGCAGTATAACCTCAAAGTTTGCCATGGGAGGACAAGCTCTGGCCATCAACTAGACACTGTCCTTCCCCATTTTACATGAAGAATTTGCATCTTCTGCCTCTTGACCAGGCAACCTGATCTTCCAGCACAGTCATTTGAAGTCCCCCCTTCTTTGAGGCAGGGGACAGCCCTTGTCACAGAAAGGACCACATTAGGGTATTCCTCTCCCTTTATCTCCCTATGGCTCCCTACAGCAGAATTTACCCAGGTCTCATCTCTTTTCCAGCTGGACTCTTTGACGATGTTGAAGACTTTGGCCATTGGTCTGGATTTTGGGATGCCTGGAAGCTCAGTGCATACAGATTGGGCAGTTCATATCTGAAGCTCTGCCAAAGCCTCTGGCACATGAACATACCCACTGCAGACCCCATTGGCTCCAGTTTGCATCTGAAGACTCCCAGGCAGAAAAGCCAGAGCCTTTTGGATTCACAGTCTTAGCTACCAGGCACAGCAGGGCAAAGGACCACCACCATGGTGCCCCTCACATGAGGTGATGGGAGTGAGAAGGCATGGTGTAAGGGCTTTGTAGGGATACACAAGGTTGAACCAGCCACACAAGGGTTGTGTGTTGTGGTATCTACTTGAACATCCTGCCTGTACTCACATGTCTTGGCTGAGGTTGTGATCCCTGGTCCCTCCACAGAGCCAAAGAGCACATAGAGGGAAATCACATACTCGGTGTCATGGGCCAGGTTGCGGAGCTGGTAGGCTGTGATTGACTTGTTGAGGGCCAGCTGGCGAGGACGGTCTTTGCCAAAGAACTCTTTGGGAGAGACAAAATAAAATAGGAGAGGATAAAGACTGAAGAGTCTGGAGAGCAGCTCTGTTGTGTACTGGGAAAGACACCATGTTTTCTCTGGCAGTCCACCTCTGACCCAGCTGAATCTCTGTTGTAGATCACCTATATGTGTGCTGGAAGAGGGTTTTTCTATAGTTATTTATTGGGGAATTTGAATGACTAAGGGATCCAAATCAGCTGAGAGGAACCGAAGGAACCAAATCACCTCCCACATCCAGGGCCCACAGTAACATGGTGCAGTACAGGGTGGCTCCAACGTGTGCTCTACCCCTCCCCAGTGTCTCCAGGGAGTTGCAAAGCCTCTGTGCTGGATGACCAGGCAAGTTGGTGTAGGACTATTGCACACACTGGGATATGCATTGGGCTGGGGTCAGGCTGAATGTAGTTGCTGCAGGGACCCTGCCTACTGGCACTGTGGGTCAGGTCCAGGAATAATTCCTCATTTCAGTTCGTGCCCTGAAGTTGTGGGAGATGCTGCTCAGACCAGTTCATGAGCTGGACCTGCCCCTACACCCACAATCCTTGAGGTTCCCAGTGCCTTATCTCCCATGCTACAGAAGGAGGTGGAGGTGATGCAGGCTGGAGGAGAGCAGGATCTTACCTGGTGTAGGACCCCAAGCCACTCGGTACCCGGTGGCCCCAGCAACCGAATCCCAGGAGACCAGAGCGCTGTTGATGGATATCTCACTCACCTTCAGCATCTGGACGGTGCTCGATGCCACTGCAAGAGAGCAAAGTTGACCAGTTGCATCAAGGTCCCAGCAGCTTCTAAGTGGCCCCCAAAAGCTGTGATGAACGAGCTGGTGCTTTCTGCACCATATGACAGACAGGGCGGCGACTACAAATGACACCAGCCCTGTGCTGCCAGCACAGCCTGACCCCCATCTGTGTCTGCTTGGGCTAGCTCCCATCCCTGCTGCAGGGCACTCACCTGTTGTTGCTTTTCCACTCACCACCGGCCCCTCAACATCCCCAAAGATGGGGTTGATGGTGATGGTGTACTCTGTGCCAGGCTGCAGCCCCTGGATCATGTAGTAGTTGTAGGTGTTGCTGAGGTTCACGTCTTGGATGCTTCCCTCTGCAAAGGGAAATGATGTCTGGGCTCTCTTGGGTCAGACCAAGGAGGACCACCCTCCTTGGGTCTCCTTGTCTGGGAGGGTGGTGGGCAATCCTGAAAACAACCACTTGATAACTACACGGTTGCGTGAGGTTGAATGGCATTTCATCCTCCTGGCTTGCATGCATGCTGCCAAGGTGCTCAAGCCAAAGATGGTAGGGATAGGGCTTAGTGTAACAAGCACAAATCTTGGTTGAGGAGCTAATGTATATGCAGGTAGAAACAACCCACAGCCACTCAGGCAGATCTCAGTGATCACCGACAGATCAAGGCAACTCAAGGCTTTGCAGGCAAAGAAAATAAATCAGGTAGCAACACACAAATGGCCACGTATGGGTCTGAGAGCAGTCCTGTAAGAGGGTCCATACTCTGCCCAGTCCTGGGTGACTCAGTGCTGGAGTCATCTTGCCTTCCCTGCAGGACACTGGAGCCACCTAATGCCACAAAAGACATTTTCTCATTTCTGTGTCCTTGTTGTGGACTAGAAACTGCTCAGCTAAACCTCTCGGCATGGCTCTAGAGGGAGGCATGGCAGGCGAAGAGTTAAAACCTAATCCCTGGGGATCGCACCCCGTTTTCAGAAGGGCAGAAAGATGCAGGCAGCAGCAGGTCGGGGTTTGGTGGGGGGGAGGCTGCCATTTGCAGTTTGGTCACTGGAGGGTGCCATGTCCCCATTTTCTGCTCCGCCAGCTCCCTGAACACCATCCTCCTTCTCCCACCCCACACCATGGACCTTCTCTCCACATCTTTTATGTTTATCTATTCTCTGTCTTGGAAAGTCAGCGAAAAAAAAAAAATCAAACCCCTCCAGCGCCTGGGACGGCTGCGCATGGATGGGCAGAAGGTATCTCGATCCCAGTGCCCCTGCACCCCTAATGCATGGCCCTGGGATGGGATGGAGCGTGGGAGGAGGACCCCGTAGGGTCCAGCGGTGAGGGTGGGCTGCCCCTTGGGATTTTCACCACCCTTGGATTTTGGGTGAACCAATATCAGGTAAAAGAGCTGCTTGGAAAGAGCAAACCTGGAGCGGAGGTGATGTGCCCTTGCCACATCATCTGAGGATGTCCCTCACTGTCCCCTCAAAAAGGGGTGTCCCCATTCCAAAGACATGGAAGGCTGAAGACGTGCACGCTCCATTTCTAGCTGGGGTATTGAGCTGGGTAAACAGCTGAGTTTTGGGGCATGCCATGATTTTTTCCAGAGCACCGTTCATTACAAAGCAATAAAAACAGCTTTATATCTTTCCTGTAAAGAATTTTCCATTCTGATGACCTTCAGAGCTCTTTTCCAACTAACCCCCTGCCCCTGGTGGGAGATATCTCCTTATTTCATAACCAGGGGAACTGAGCCGGAGGAGAGTGCACTATTTATTCAAAGCCTGTGATGGAGCCCAGGTGTCCTGACATCCCCCATCTAGTCTTTGAACCACAGAAACATCCGTCTCTCAAGGCCAAAATATGCCATCAAACCTGAATTTCTAACTTCTGCTCCCCCACACCAGCAATGAAAATATGTTTGGGTTCAGGGCAGGGGAGAGGCTCCAGCTGCAAATGCAGATCTGTCTTCAAACACCAAAGTTTGTCTGAGAATGAGGATGCATTATGGGATGCTGGGGGACGAAGCCAGGTCTTAGCACTGCAGATAGAAAAGCAACAGGCACAGGGGCTTCCAGTCTGTAATGTGGTACCTGTCGCCCCAAATAGAGGGTAACCCCAGAGCTCAGGGTCTGTGGGATGTTCAGCTCTGCAGGGAGTACGTTACCAGCTTCTCCCCAGCTATTAATCCTTTCCAGAACTACTCAGGTCCAGTAAATCCGGCACTAATCCCATGTTAACGAGGGCTGGGTACCCATTAGCCTGCTTTATGCAGAGCCAGAGCAGGTATTTTTGCATCCGTGGTGGAGTTTACCATCAACACCCATGGTGTGGCTCTCTGTTGCAAGCTGCTGATTTATCCCCATGTGCAGAAAACTCCACCATTCACAGACCCAAAAAACCTGTTTTCCTCCAGCTTCTTGTTGCATGTCTGGACACAGAAAGTGTCAGTGCACCCAGTGCCTTGGGGATCTCACAGCTGCTGTCTCTCCATGTCCCTGCTCCACTGGCATGCACCCCATTCCTGAGTCTCTACCTGCTGATGTCCAGGTGAGTCTGTACCCCGTTGCTCCCCGGACGGGGCTCCACCTTGCCTGGAGCGTGTTGGTAGTCTCATTCTGCAGTGAGATGCTTTTTACAGGCAGGAGCTTCACTGGAAAGAGGACAGGGAACAAACCTTTCAGAGCACCTACTTGCCAGCAGAGGACTTTGCGACTTTGCTGGCTGCCCTCCCTGCATCGCTGTTCCTCCAGCCTGCCTGCTAGCAGAAGAGGGATTTACAAGGGCTCCTGCCCTCCCTGACAGCCTGAAGGCATCTCATAAAAGCAGTGGTGAAAGCAACCATATCTGTGACCATTGCTTTCCAGGACCGATGCCTCTAATGCACTACCTTGCTTGCTTTATGCAGCGTGGGTGCAAAACAGAAGGGCAAGCGAGGCTCTGGCAGGTCTCCCACCCTTCCTCCCAAGCAGCGTGATGGTGTTTGAGGATGTCCATGTCCATGCATGTGATGGGGAAAGAGCAGGGCTCAGGGTTGGAGTTAGGAAGGACCTGTTGAACGCTGCCCCTTTGATGCACAGGTAGCTGCAGCACTCACTAACTGTGAGGTGCTTATTAACAGCAAAGGGTGTGAATGCAGCGCCCAGGGCAAGAAGGGACCAGGAACAGAGTCAAGCCTCTTACATGTTCTCCCCACAGCAGCCACACGCTGGCTCGGCCCTTGGGGGTACACTGCATAGATGCTGATGTTGTATTCTCTATCCTCCTGCAAGTTATCCAGCACATGGGAAGAGACGTCGCCCCGCAGAACCTGCTCATACATCATTCCTGGTCTGTTGGCTGCAAAATCAAGAAGAGTGATGGTGAAGCCTTCCCACTGCCTGAGGTCCACATCCCATGGCTGAAGTCTCCCAACCCACGTGATGTTGCTGAGTGTTACATCTGTAGCTAAGGCTTGACATATCCATGCTGTCCCCAGCCCTCCAGATCACACAGAGGTAAGTGTGAGCCATACTGAAGGCTTGAACTCACCCCACATCCACACCAAAGTAGGCACTTGGGTATGAAAAACATCTAGGGCAGGTCTGGATGTGACAGTGCAAATGGGTACAAGGCACCCACGGCATCATCCCCATCTTGTCCTTCAAAAGCAAGTCCTTCAAAGGACTCTCCTTCTCTGTCCTGGAGGAACCACACTGTCTGGAAGACGCTAACCTGGCCTCCTTCCAGAGTAATGCCAGGAGCTCTGTGGTGTACTGTTCCTTGGACAAAATGGCACCTTTCTTGTCCTTGGGTCACTCCTCCTTTTAAAGCAAACTCCAAGAAAAATTACTAAAATCTGAACTCACCTCTGGGGATGTAGATCTTGTAGCCCTCCAGCTTGCCCAGTGGAGGTGTCCAAGCCACCTTCAAGCTAAAAAGTCCTTCTTCTATCACACGGAAATTAGTGACTGGAGGCACGGGTGCTTTAGGGTACAAAAATATTGTGTGTTGTGTGACACACACAACAGTGCTGTAATAAAGTGCCATGGCAAAGACCCTTGGAAAATCTTTTGCTTTCAAGGACAAAGAGACACAAAGGTGAGCAGCAACAGTTCTCCCTATTTTGTCATCTAAACCCTCAAAAGCAACCATCCCCGCCCCTGTCAAACCCTTGTCTGCTTGAAAAGTGAGCTGAAAACCCCCAAGGCAGAGTGCTTGTGGGCTTCCTCTTTGAATGGTGTTGGGAACTGTGAAATATCTCCCCACAAGACATTTCCTCCCGAGTAGAGAAAACTCTGCAGCGGTTTCATGCAGACTGAGCAAGGACACATGAATCAAACACTACTTGTGCCTATGGATGCAACTCTTACAAAGAGGAGCCCATTTTGATCCAGCCAGCCATGGCAGACAGATTTATAGCTTCTGCCTCTGGCTTCATGTTTGGGGATAATAAGAGAAGAGATCAAATGACTTTATTTCCACCCATAAAGACATTCCATCTTATTCCTGGCAAGTACATATGAGTCAACCTCATTGAGGAGCTTTATTTATTCATCCTGTCAGAGATCTTCCCTCAAGAAGACAAACAATTTAAGACATTGCGGGAGGTGGGGAAAGAAACAAAAGACAAGGAAGAAAGGAATAATTCTTTTCAAAACACCTCGGGCAAAGCAGAATTGGCGCTTCATCCAAAAGAGGGAGGGAAGTGGAATTAGTGTACCCCTTAAACACTTAAAACTCCTTAAAGTAGTGCAGAGACTTCTGGGACAAAACGTGCTCCATCCATCACACCTGACCCCCTGTCTTGCACTCCTGGGTTTGGCCAAGAGTGAATTTGCTCCTTTGTTTCCAAGAACCTTGACATTACAGACAGCCATGTGACAGCAAAGGAATTTGGCATGGCAGACTGCAATCCAGAGGAAGCCTAGATCATTTCATGGGACCACAGATCACTACTTGGAGCATTTCCTAAAGGCCATGATCATACCACCTTGGTGTTCATCTTGAGTGAAATGAACCACTAAGCACATGCATAGTGCCAACCCAAACCTTTTGGACCATCCACTTCTGAAACAAGGTGTTTAGAATATACTTCTCTCCATAGAACTCATGTCTGTGTTTCTCAACCCATGGCCTCCAAAAGCTTTCTCATCCCAGGTACACAGATGTTACATTAACTGAATCCCAGTCTGGATTTGTTAAATCCTGCTGGTTATTAAATGAGATGATGTGACCTACCCAGCAGGCTGCACCCTCTGCTTTGAAGTGGGTTAACCACATGGGTTACTCTGCATCCACTCACAACCCTGCACCCCACACCATGGACGTTTGTACAGATATTCCTCCTACCCATTCCTACCCATCCATCCCTCACTCCTTGCATGTATGGTTTTGGGGTGTGTTTTTTCCTGTGCCCACGCAGACAAGGGACACATGGGGATGACTGCAGAAGAAGCACTCACTTGTTTTCCCCTTGACAGCTGCTGACTCCCCAAGGGCATCTGCATAGACAGCCCTCACCGTGAAGATATACTTGGTGTTGGGTTTCAGATCAGTCACCAGCACGGTACTTTTGTCACCATCCACCACAATCTGTCACACAGGGGGAAAAAGGACATCATTGCACCTCCATGACAGTAGACGACCCCCATGTTTGCAATAAGTTAGGAGCACAAGGCTTCACATCTGATGCACACTGATGGTGAGTTCCATAAGTAGAAAACTCTTAAAACGCACTAACTTAGAACACTGTGATCCTCAAATGATATCTGGGTTCACACTGGACATAGCACTGACACAAGACAGTGCCAAGGGTGCGTTTCATGAGTTAGTCCAGAAAAAACTCCATGAAAAGAAGAGTGTGCATAAGGGTGAGCGTGGTCGCCAATCCCCTTAAAAAAAATGGAGGAAAAGAAACCATCTTTGGCAAAGAAAGTTTCTTTTAAGCTCATAGAGGGAGATTTCAATGTAACCTGAGGGCAAGAGAGGTGGAGACAACTTCTGTGTTTTCACTATGTTCTTATGAGTTTCTGAAGCAGCCAAGGATGATCATTCTTGTTAAATACAATCTTAATAATTAATACAATTAATAATCTTAACCTTAATAATTTATGCTTTCATAGCTTTGTTCTATTATTAGAAATCAAAACTTTTAGGCATACATCTTCTATCCTTCAATCTTGTTCTCAAACTTTGTGCAGTGACCAAACTGAACTGGAGTGAGCTGGCACGCATGGCAGCATCCCTCACACAAGGACATAGCAAATCCAAAACCAAAATGTTCAGAGATCTTACCAAGGTGAAAAATCTTGGCAGCAAGACGAACAGGGGATGTCGCTAGGGAAGCTGGATGGGCTTATTTGACAGGTGGTATAACAGAGGTAAGGAGAGAAAGAGTTCTTCCCATTCAGCTGTTCTTATCAATCCCAATGGAGTTTGTGCCAGTTTGTGCCACATCCTTCTTCCACCCTGTCTTCCCCCTATCACTCCCAGAAACTCCATCTCAGCACAACAGCATGACAAAGTTAGCATGAGCAATCGACACACCTGCAAATCTCATGGTCTACCTATAGACCTTCACTTCAAGCAAGCAGCTTCAGGAATTTATGCTAATGCACTGGGCTGTGATCAGGATGGCTGAGGGACATGGTGCCATCTCCTAACCAGGCTGTGCCATCAGCAGCCTCAGCAGAGGACTAACCCTTAACATTGGGACCTGCTGGTGCTCTGCAAAATAGGAATGCAACTCTACCTGCTGCTGGTCCTCCGAAACCGGCTGCCCCGAAGGCAGCAAGGGATGCAGATGGACACGGTACCCCATCACCCTCCCTGTAGCTGGCATCCATGTGAGTCGCAGCGAGCTGTGGCTGTGCTCGCTGACATGCAAATCCTGGGGGCCAATGATCTTCTCAGCTGCAAAAATAGAAAGGAAAGGCCTTTGGTTTGGACCATGATGGTACCAGTGCTGTACATGTGCAAGCTGTTCATTGATGCAGTCAACATATTCAATGCAGAGAAAGCCTTGGGTATAGTGGCACTCAGTCAGGTTGAGAGCACAGGGGCAGCTGGGATCTGTTTCCTGGCCAGAGCCATGCAAGCAGGTTTCCTTTTGGCAAATTGCTTGACAGCACAAGAAGGGAAAACAAAACTGGTTCTGGCTACATTTCCCTGCTTAATGCATAGGGCATCAGCTACTTCCTGCCTTTCTCCTTACTGCCACCAGAGAAGAGTCTGCCAGAAAGCTTGAACTCTCCATGAAACATCACAGGAAGCCCTGAAGTGCCACAGAACCACAGAGAAAGCAAAAAAAGACCCTCTAATGACTTGGATGAAGTTCCCCCAAGCTCTGCCCCAAGCTTTTAACTCATCTTCTCATGAGTTTGTGTGCCAAGAAGGGGGCAGGAATTCATTGCCACCACCTCTGGATTTGCTGCAACATCAGTATCTGTTTGGGGAGAGATCTACATGTCTTTGGAAATCTCTTTGGCTGCTCTTGCATCTTCTGCAAGGAATGAAGTTCTTCCTGAGATCCTGAGCTCTGCTGCTGGAGTTCACCATGAAAGGTCCATCATGAAAGCCCCCAAGGGGCAGAAACGCAGCCACAGCCCATTGCTGCTCCTTTTCTTTGAACCAGCAGCAAGACTTTCAGGATCTGGTATCTCCAGACAAACCATGGAGATGCAGACACAAGCAAAATACACAGGACCACTGCCCCTGAGCAACAGATGCTCCATGAGCTGGCTACTCCTCTAGGGTCATCCAACCCCTAAAGCTCCCTTGTGATGGTCAGAGGGGATGTGGGAGGTCCATCTCCCTGGGTGGCTGGCACATCCAGGGACTGGGAAGGGGTTGGTTTGAGCAGGTGGAAAGCAGGATAAAGGGAGAGCCCTGACACACCTCGCACAGTCTGTTTGATGGGTCGTGGTGGCTCTGAGGCAGTGAAACAGAGCCTTCGAGAGAGTTTGGGGGCCACGTTGTGGAGCAGGTGGAAATCTTCAATGTAAAGAACATGCTCTGCAGTGGGCTCTGAAGCTATTTTGTTCAGTTCATTCTTGTCAGCTTCCTTAATTCCTAGAAGAAGAGGAAAGCAGGTCATCAAACACCATCCCTGGGGCAGGCCAGGCATTGGCAAGGGCTCTCAAGAGCAAGCGGGAGCAATGTGCTGGCTTTTGAGTTTTACATCAGCTTTGCAGTCATGCTGCCCATGGTGAAGGATGAAACAAGGAATGGAGACTCAAACTGGATGGGCAGTGGTGAAGCAGATAAAGCCACCAAGGAAAAGATGTCAAGGTTTTCTCCAGAGACATGTTAGAGATTGACCCCGGGGATTTGGCTGCTAATGGGCCAAAAGGTGGAAAGCTCTCTTGGGGTGGAGAGTCAAAAGGAGCAGGGCAGGATCTGGCCTCATCTTTCCTGTTGGATACAGAGGCGTTTCTGCCCTTCTGATGGATAAGCAGACAATGGGACTTTGGGAGGCTCTGTGAAAATTGCAGGCTTTTCCTGTGGTTGAATGAAAAACACGGGGGGAAAAAACCCAAACAAACAGCCCCCCCCCCCCAAATTTTCACCTCGCATTTGTCCAAATCGACTTGGTTGCTCTCTATAATGAAATACCACCACTGTCCCCTTCTTCTCCCCTAAAATGTTTGGTGAAGGGAAGGATTTGACTTGTAATAAATGGCTGTATTTAGCTCTTGGGGGCAGGGAGGTGCTGAAACTTTTCCTTGCCCATGGAATTATTCTGATGGACGTTTTTAACGTAGCTGAAGTTGGTCTCTGAATCCCATTAAAAGAAAGCTTCAAAAGTAAAAACATTTCATTTTTGAAAATGTCACATCAAAACATTTTGACTTTTATAGAACTATTTATTGAACAACTCCTGAATTCGCAAGTAGTTTTGACAGATGCAAACCCGCAGATTTCCACTGACTAAATCAGCTATCTACAATAACAAAAAATATCCAAGCACAGAACAGATGTGATTTGCCTGTACTTGCAGTAGTTGCTAGTAGCTGAGCCTTGGGATGGGTGCAGTTTTTAGAGGAGGGGAGTGTCGTGCATCAGGAATCTTCCCCAGTGCATAGACTGTGTGTTGGTGCACACACAGTATTTGGTGGCAATGCTCCACGTAACTTAGCGTGTCCATACGTACCTACAGCAAACACCGTCACCCCCCCATCCTGCAGGACCCGGGCTTCATCTTCAACTGAGTCACTGGATTTCCCATCTGTGATCAAAACAACTACCTACAAGAATTGGCATAAGACCCAGAGAATGAAAAAGCACAACATGAGGAGGTCACAGAGACAGTTGCACCATTTTCACACTGACCTTGGATGAAGTCCCTCCCTCTAAAGGGATGGGCACTTGAAAGTAAATCCTTCAATAACCCACACCTCTGGGGTAACTCATATGAAATCAGCTTTCATGAGCATGAGCTGGGAAAGAGCAGAGCATTAAATGCTGCTGCTCATGACCGCATCTTCTCTCCATGTCTCCTCCTGCTTGGCTGTGTCTTACCTCTGCTTGGGGCAGTAACTCTGGCTCCAGAAGGAGATTAATGCCAGCACAGAGAGAAGATTCACCTCTAAAAGTCTGTAAGAGCAGCTCTTAAAGAACGACTCAGCTGCACATTGGAGAACACACTTAACCAATGGCGCCTGGCTGGTGCTATCAGGTGGTAAGAAACTCTCTCAGCAACAGCCTGAGTTTAAAAGACAGTCAACTCAGCAACCCCAGACCTTTCAAGCTTTTTGGGCAGTCCCATGTCAGATCACGTAGCAGGAGATATGGCTGGCGCATGAGATGCTACAATGAAGACACACCCTGCTGCAACACCTTTAAGCAGGTGGTTGAGGTGGGTAACACATCCCACCTGTAGCATCATGTTCTCCCTCCTGCTCTGTGGCTCAAAATAGCTCTCATTGACCACACTGATCGCATGGATCACACAGACCACATTTGGCATGCAGGATCTCAGAGCAAAGGAGAAGGTGCAGCACCACACTGCAAATTTGGAAGGCCCACGGGAGGCGAAAGCTGGCTGTGATAGTTTCAGACTCGATTCATGGGGTGTATCCACTCCCCATGCAGCTGCCCCCTTCTTGATTTCAAGACTGTCTATCATCGGAGCAGAGCAGAGTGAACGGTTTCATGCAGCCTGCAGAGCAAACCAGAATGCAGCACCTTCTCTTTAGCATCCTCAGCATCCTCAGAGCCCCTTAGAAATTACAAAGAAAGTAATTTAAAAAAAAATGATCTGAAGAAACCAATGACCCAGAACTGATGTCTGAAAGGTAAAGACACTGCAATGTGTCTGCTTTTCGAGTACGATGCTAACTGTACTGCCACTCTCTGTAACCAGAGCGGATGTGCACAGGCTATGAGCAACAGCTACCTGCACCAGCACCACAACTTGTCTCCTTGTCTTAATCACGCCTTGAGCCTGCTCAGTTAGTAAGTGCAGTAAGTGCCCCGAATCTGGGTACTCATCTGGAGGCATTTAAGACTAGAGTTCTGGGTCCCTCTGCAATCCATGGGGAAATATGAACTTTTTTTTTAAAAGTGAGTCAGTCCTTTGAAAATCTGGAGTTGCCTGTCTCCTTCTATCATCAATAAAGTGACCTGAAGCTGAATGAGCTCCTAAAACGAGGTACCTCAACTGGAAGCCAAAAATCAGATGGAATGAATAAAAACCAACGAGCTCATTCATGCCTTCAGGTAAAGAAGTTAGAGGTCTGATCCCTACCAAGGATGACACAAGGGAAGTCATCACAGAGGGTCGCTTACCTTTGCTGCATCCTCTCGCAGTGTATCCAGACGAGACATGGTGTGAGCTGCAAATGCCAGAGCTGACCCTGTTTTTAAGCTGCTGCCTTTGAGGGAGAGATCCTGAATTGCCACCAGCATTTCTTCAATGGTCACGTAATCCGTGAGCTCAATACTCATCCTGGGAATGAGAAATGGGGGAATATGGGTGAATAAGGAGCAAGAAAACACTGTTGTTACAGCAAGGACGCATTGCTAATAGTAATGACCAGCAATAATGTTGACTTTTAGCTGGTCACGCTAGGCTTGTATGTAGGCAAGGACTCCTCTTCACAGTGGTCAAGGGAGTCAAGGGAGTCCAGGTTATGAGCCCCGGAGCCCTGTTACCACAAAACACTATCTAAAATTGGATGGCAGGGAATTTCTTGTGGCTGCATTAAATGCCAGCCTCCCTGCCCTGAAAGAGTTCCCCATGGCCAAACACCGCTAGACTCTGGTGACACTTTTTTTTGTTCAGCAGAGCAGCAAGAGCTCTTTAACCATGGGGACATGGTTGCCCATCTAGAGCTACTGAGCTATAAAAATCCAGGTGGTGGTAGTAGAGGATGGACTGACCCACCTTGGTTTCTCCCCGTAGAGTGCCACTGCCAGCCGGATGCCTCCTTTTCCCATCACCACGTTCTCAAAGGAACGTGCCATGCTGCTGATGAAGTCCTTGGCCAGCCGGGAGCTCTCCCTTCCCGTGGCCTGTGACTGCCCCACGAGGAACAAAATGTCGGCCACCTCTGCTGTCCTGCATGCTGAGGGAGAAG